GCCTCCCAGCTCCTTTTATTTCTTCTTCCCACTTCTGCTCCCCATTTCCTCTCTCCCCTCATCAGTCTTCATTCTGCAACCTCTCTCTTCTCTCTGCTCTCTCTTCTGATAATCTCTTCTTTCTAAGAAGCCACATGGAGTCCTGGTGTAGCACTGTGGGTTAATGCGCTGAACTTCAGAGTTGGTTTGAACCACAAGGTTGGCAGTTCGGGCTCACCAGCTGCCTCTCAGGAACCCGACACAGGATGACTACGGGTCGGAACTGACTCTATGGCACTTAACAACAACAATAAACCACACATAGAAGAGAAGTGGTTTGGGTCTTGTTCTTTGTTTAGGTTGCTGGTGAGTTGGGTTCAGCAGATTCGTTTTCTTTGACCTCAGTGATTTTGTTCTGGACCATGCTCCCCTGTGATGCTGAAACCCTCTGCCCCAATTCGGGTTCTTGCCCCTATGTCATTAAATGACCTAGAGCTTAGTTGTTGTGGTTGTGCTGGTTGCTAAGTGCCATCGAGTCTGTTCCAACTCATAGCAACCCTGTCTAGGGTTTCCAAGGAGCGCTTGGTGGGTTTGAACTGTCAACCCTGTGATTAGCAGCCTGGTGCTGATCCTACAACACCACGTGGACTCCAGGGTTGGTACCGGTCTCACATCTCCACAATCCCTGCCACTAAAGAAGACATGTGAATCTTTTCTGAGCTTTCCCTTAGTGTTGAAGTCACGTTCTTGGCTTTCCTGGTTAACAGGCATAATCCGTTTCCTTCACACATTGACCATAGTTGAGCATTTGTGAGCACAGATAGTTAAAAGAGTAGCCCACTGTGGGAGCTAGTTAAGATATTGTAGGACAAAAGACCTGCTCTCTAACCTGAACTTGCTGATGACTTGGTGGACGCTTCAGATGATTTGCTCAACCTCTGATCCTGTTTGCAGCCTCAGTAATATCGGAGTGCTGGCTTCTTGCAGCTCTGTTGTGGTGTTGAGGAATTTAGTGTGATAATCCGTGTGAAAAGTACCTTGAAAGTTGCACACTGGCACCAAAAAGCAAGGCAGTTCTAATATCCACAGCATTTGTTATTAGCTGTTGTCAACTTGAGGCAACCCCACACACAGCAGGGTGAAACACTGCCTGGTTCTATGCTGTCTGTCTTCACAGCTGGTTGCAGACCAAACAATTGCGATCCATAGGGTTTTCACTGGCTTATGTTTGGAAGATCACCAGGCCTTTCTTCCTACTCTTTCTTAGCCTGGAGGCGCCACTGAAACCTGTTCAGCCTCACAGCAGCACACAAGCCTCCAATGATGGGTGGTGGCTGAATGTGAATGCATTGACCAGGAATCAAACCTAAGCCTCCTGCCTGCAAGGCAAATTTCCTAGTTACCTTGCAATTCCACAATAGAAATACCAGATGTGAAAGTCTTCAACAAGCAGAAATTCATTCTCTCACAGTTAAGGAAGTTAGAAGTCTGAGGCTGGAGTACCGCGCTCCCAGGAAAAGTCCCTGTCTCCTTTCAGCTTCTGTGGGCCCAGCATTCCTTGGAGAGCTCCATGTGTCTTAGATCAATCATTCATTCCCTGGCTCTCGGAGCATCCCAGTACAGGGACCCAGGTCCAAAGGGTTGCATTCAGTCTACTCCCAGCTCTGCTTTCTGGGTGATAGTGGGTACCTCTTTCTCTGCTCACTTCTCTCTCCTTTTATATCTCAGAAGAGACTGGTTCAAGACACAGCTAAATCCTACAGATTGCACCCGACCTCATTAACATCACAGGAGTGAGGAGATACAACACATTGGATAATTATATTGGACATGGGCTGATCACATCAGATCATCTCATAGGGCTGATTGAATTATGTTAAATCTCATCATGGAGGTGATTGTAGCTCTTGTTAAGTGCCGTCGAGTCAGTTCCGACCCATAGTGACCTTGTATAGGATTTCTGAGGACCAGCTGGTGAGCTTGAACTGCCAACCTTGCAGTTCAAACGGCTTTGCTGTCTGGCGCATTAACCCACAGCGCCACAACTGGACTCTGATTGTTGCTGCTGTTGTTGTTAAGTACCATGGAGTCGGTTCTGACTCATAACAACCCTGTACAGGGTTTCTGAGGCTGTAAATCTTTACGGGAGCAGAAAGCCTCATCTTTCTCCCACAGAACAGCTGGTAGTTTCGAACTGCTGACCTTGAGGTTCACAGCCCGATTCATAACCACTATGCTACCAGAGCTCCTTGATTGTCACTGTTAGGTGCCATCACATCAGTTCCGACCCAGAGCGATCTTCTGCACAATTGAGCTCATCTCACAATTTGTTCTGTGCCAGTCTCACTTGAACCCATTTGCTGTAACCACTGTGACAATCCATCTCCTTGGGGGTCTGCCTACTTTATTATTAATGGATGTTTTGCAGCTGTTTCTCCTTATTTTGAGTTGTGCCCCATCAGCAAATGAAGGTTCTGAAAGCTTTATTCCATTTACATCATCATTGTCAACTCTACGTTGAAAAGAGTTGTATTTTGAGTGCCTTCCAACCTGAGGGGCTCATCTTCCGGCACTGTATCTGACAAGATTCTGGTGCTCTTCATCATGTTTCAGTGGTCAGTATTTTGATGCTATCTGACAGTGTTCCGCTGCTAGTCATAAGGTTTTCAGTGGCTAAATAATTGCTCGGATGCAATCCAGTGATAACTGGTATCGTTCACCTTTTGGTAACTCAGCTTCCACCAAAAAACTGTGGCATCTCAGTGGTTGAAATCAATAGATTATTGCATTCTTGTGTGGCGGAGGGCGGGGTGGGGCTAGTTCTGTTTTAAGCAGTCAGCCTTTGACACAGTGATTCAGGGACCAAGATCCCTTCCATTTTGGAGATCTACACTCTCCTCAGGCTTCAGAGTCTACATTTATGAGGGAACTTTAAATGCATGGAAAATTTTCATTATCTTTCAATTCTATTTTTCTATGAACTTTTTATTTAATGTTTTATTGTGAATTATGTGCTAGTTTACATGGGAGAACATTAGCTTTACATTCATCCATCATCTATCGTTTCATTTCTATGAACTTTTTGAAGCTCCCTTGTATATATGTCTTTTTAGTATTTAGCAAACTGTACTATAGTCCAGCTTGTTTATCCCCAACCTGTTCTAGAGAATGCTGTACTTCTGTAGGGTAAGCACTGGACTGCAGATTACTAGGTCAGTGGCCAGAGTCCACCAAGCACTCTGCAGGAGAAAGATGAGGCTTTCTTATCCCACAAAGATTTTAAAGTCTCAGAAACTGTGTACCAATTGCTGTTAAGTCGGAACTGTAGGATTAATGCTTATCTGCAAGTCAATTTGAACTACAGGGTCAGCAGTTCAAACTCACCAGCTGCTCCTTGGAAATGTTATACAGGGTTGGTATGAGTCGGAACAGACTCAGTGGCACTTGACGACAACAACATTCCAATCCATCTAACCACTTGTCTGTCAGTGTGTTGCTATGATGCAGAAAATTTGCCACCAGTATTTCAGATATATCAGCGGGGTCACCCATGGTGGACAGGCTTCACCAGAGCTTCTAAGCTAAGACTGGGGAGCAATTAGTGAATGGAAACCCTATGGATAAGAGCAGAACATTGTCCGGCTCACTCACTTTGAACACGTCATTGGAAGGCACCTGTCACTAGAGGAGGGTGGAGTAGAGGGCTGGTGAGTGTTGAGGAGACCCTCGCTGGGTGAGATGATTGGTATGGTGGCTGTGACAATGGACTTGAACGTGGCTGCAGTTGTGAGACTGGCCCAGGGCCAAGCAGCACTTCAGTGTGTTGTTCCTAAGGTTGCCATGAGTCAGAGGTAACTTGAGGGCAGCTAACAACAAATCGCAGACCGTGCCTGCACTTGGAAAATGATCAATAAACACTTGGTAATGCGGAAGATAGATGAAAGAAACTGTACTGAGAAGACTCACTGTGGAAATAGCTAGAAAAGACATGTGATCGTCATCCTTTCCCCACTTGGTTCTACTCAGTGCTCTGAGTGAACACCCCTAACCCCTGAGATCTAAACACAAACCTGAGTTTAAGTGGTTCATTTTTGTTTTTTTAATTTCTGCTTTCCTGGATTGAGTCCAGCTTACATTTTTCTGACAGGCTTGATTTTCATACTGCTTTTATATTCATGTTGTTGCTGTATTCTATAAAGTCGGTTTGGACTCATAGCAACCTTGTGTAGGGGTTCCAAGAGCGCCTGGTGGATTTGAACTGCCGAACTTGCAGTTACAAGTCCAGTGATTATCCTACAGTGCCATACCAGAGCTCCCTGTGTTTGTTGCTGCTGCATGTCATCAAGTTGGTTCGAACATATAAGCGACCCTGTATAGGGTTTCCGAAGGAGCTCTGGTAGTGTAGTGGTTACGAATCGGGCTGCGAGCCACAAGGTCAGCAGTTTGAAATTACCAGCTGTTTCGTGAGAGAAAGATGAGGCTTTCTGCTACCGTAAAGATTTACAGCCTTGGAAACCCTATACAGGGTCGCTATGAGTCGGAACCGACTCCGCGGCACATAACAACAACAACACCATAGGGTTTTCGAGGCTGTAAATCTTTATAGGAGCAGAAAGCCTCATCTTTTCCTGCCTAACAGCTTGTGGATTCAAACTGCTGACCTAGTAGCCCAATGTGTAACCCACTACATTAGCCAGGCTCCTATGTTTTAGGTCTTACAAACGGTTTGACGAGTTAGCTATTTCAGGATACATAGAGATATTGAGACACTCAGAGAAGAAGATTTCAGAAAAGCTTGTCAGGTCTGTGGATGTGTTGGGGTTGCCGTGCGTTGGAAGTGACTTGATGGCAGCTGTCTTGCCAGTTTTGTGGGTGCATTAGGAGTTTAGGCCCAAGCTGGGTGCTGGTGTGGCTGGAGCCATTCTGGAAATTTAGCTCTGGCAGAACCTAAGAAATTAATCTTAAGAAATTATATGTATCTATAACAATGTTTCAATTATTTTCTTTTTTGTTCTTTCCAGGCAAAACCAAAGCTAATTGAACCACTCGACTATGAAAATGTCATTGTTCAGAAGAAGACGCAAATCTTGAACGACTGTCTGAGGGAGATGTTGCTTTTTCCTTATGACGACTTTCAGGTCAGTCACTTTTCAATCTCGATCAATAGAACCTTGTGGTTGATCTTTACCAACAAGTCTGTTCCATTTGTTTACCATGTGGCTAGTTAATTTAAAAAGATGAACATGTTATTGACGAGAGAACTGTTATGGCATTATGTCATGATCTTCTTTGAGGCAGTCATGAGTTGCTTTTTGTTTTTAAGTGTATATGTATTCATTCAGGTATGTGTGTATATGTGTGTGCATGTTTTATCTTCCATAAAAGTGCTCTGGGCTGATTTATTGGACACAAGCGCTTCCTATGTCTTATGAGATTCATGTAAGAGGAATTTGAGTGTTTTGCCAAGTGCTTTAGAGTCTTAAAGATAGGATTTGCTGGCAGAAGTGGAGCATTTTGTAATGCTATCTTTTTAGGACGATTCTGCGGGAGATTGTACCACCAGGGAGACCCTGGATTATCTCTGGGCTCACAGAGATAGGTTTAGAGGTTAGCTAGGAATTGCATGAACTGCACTTAACAAGAGCAAACACCCCCCTCCCCCAACTCCACAGCAGTGATAGGCAAGTGTGAATTGTCTCCCCAAAGAGCTGCGCCTTGAAGGAAAAGTGTGGCTCAGTAGCTGCAGGCAGTCCTCTGCGCAGGCTCTATTGGTGAACTGCTCTCCAGAGCTCATGGGTGAAGGTGATAGGTTGTGACTGATCTCTGGTGAACTGACCTGCAGAACCTTTCAGGCAATCGTTGTTGTTATTAAGTGCCATCGAGTCGGTTCCGACTCCTAGCGACCCTGTTGTTGTTGTTATTAAGTGCCATCGAGTCGGTTCCGACTCCTAGTGACCCTGTTGTTTTTGTTATTAAGTGCCATCGAGTCGGTTCCGACTCCTAGCGACCCTGTTGTTGTTGTTATTAAGTGCCATCGAGTCAGTTCTGACTCCTAGCGACCCTGTTGTTTTTGTTATTAAGTGCCATCGAGTTGGTTCGAACCCATAGCGACCCTGTATGAGGCTTTAAATCTTCGAGAGAGCAGAGAGACTCATGGGCTCTAACCACAGTCCTTGTGGTTTACAGTCCAGTGCTTGCTATATGAGGCTAATAGTCGTCTCCCAGGAAACCAGTGTTGTCAGCTATCTGGGAGCCTGGAGCCACCTAATGACACACTCTGCTTCACCTGGATACCCTTACCTGTATGTTGCTCTGATGCTGTCACCACTCAGACCCTGGAAAACAGACCTGGTTCCTGGAAATCGACCTGCCTTACCTTTAAAGCTTCCATGGTTCTTTGTTGTTTAATTTAAAAAAGACTACATACTCTAAAACAAAGCAAACAAGAATTATTGAAACAATTAGCTCTCCCCTTCACTCTCTTTTAAAACAAAAATCTCATTCCCCAGAATTGTATTCAGTCCTGTGCATATCGATTGTTGTTAAACAGCTTCCATGTTCCATATTAAATCCTTGGAAGTTTTTTTTTTTTTTGACCTCTCACCAAATTGAAGAGACGCTAGTTTTGAATAGAGTTGAGAATTTCTCCAACTATTGATCCTTTCTAACTTGTTAGGGATACATGTACAGAAACATGATTATTCCTTTGTCCTTTCCTGGAGGGACAAATGTCAAGGGAAGGAAGACGAACTACGAATGTGCTGTTTCTACAAAGTGTGCTTCATTGCAAACAGTTTGAGATCCTGCTTTGTAAACTTCACTACACAAATAGACGCTACAGCTAGAGGACTCAGTACTGGGAACCTCAAAATGATGTCTTTTGCCTGTGATTTTGGCAACATGCATATGAGCATGGGAAGTAAAATCAGATGACTACAAATCGTGCTCCATATTGACATATGTTTCCTGTAGTGTTCTCTGAGGAAGTTAAAGGTTATCTTAAGTTTCTTTGAGCATGAAATATGTGTTCTTTTTGGTATTCATTAGAGTAACAAAAGTTATTTTGAAGTTTGCAACCTAGAATGCGGTTTGATTTGCAAGCCTGAGATTGATTTTCCAGAGAAACAACAAACCAAAGATACAAGATAGAATTGATTTAGTATCAGCTTTTATTCTGGGGACAAGGTACCTGATAAATCTTCCTTAGTCATTGCCCAACTTTGTCTTATCCATGTGGAAGTTGGATAGTGGACAAGGAAGATTGTAGAAGAGTTGATGCATTTGAGTTATGGTGTTGGAGGAGAATATGAAAAGTACCATGGACTGTCAAAAGAACTAACAGATCTGTGTTGGAAGAAGTACAACCAGAGTGCTCCTGGGAAGCCAGGATGGTGAGAGTTCATCTCTAATACTTTGGACATACTGTCAGGAGGGACCAGTCTCTGGAGAAGGACATCATGTTTGATAAAGTGGAAGGTCAATGAAAAAGAGGGGATCCCCATCAAGACTGATTGGCACAGTGGCAGCACCAATGGGCTCAAGTGTGGTAGCAATTTTGAGGATGGTGTAGGACCAAGTAGTGTTTTGTTCTGTTCTACTACATGGGGTAGCTATGGGTCAGAACTGACTCAACGGCATCTAAAAACAACAGCCCTGATTTATAATTCCTTTGCTTATAACTCTTGTCAATGATACTAGACACACATATTCCAGGAAAGGCAGAGAATTTACCGACATTTTGCTGGGCAGGGATGAATTGTTTTCAGGAAGTTTGATCCCGTCAACATTCATTGTGTTGGATCCCAGTTAAGTTTAGATGCTCATGTTTGTTTCCTTGTGTACAGAAGTCAGGTGAGGTCATTTACACTGTTGTTGTGTAAAGTGCCATCGAGTGGGTTCCAACTCATAGTGACCCCATATATGGTTTCCAAGGAGCGACGGGTGAATTTGAACCACCAACTTTGAGGTTCAAACTGACCTTGCAGTCCAGGAGTTATCCTATAGCACCATGCCACTGTGCTGGTTGCTGTAGTTGTAAAACCGATGACTAGATCAGCAATCTAGTTTATTGGACATGAGATAATTTCTGAAATCGGAAAATTCCAGTGACACACAGGGCCCTTACCCACATGTAGTATAGTTTCTCTAGTGGTTACTGAACCCTTATTGTTCTTAGAGTGGTGTGTAAAATCAGTGGTGTATGGTCAATGTCCAATATCTTGGCAAGAGAATTTAAAGGAGAAGGTGGGGATGCATAACGAAAATTATGAATAATTGGCAAATGCAAACTTGTCTCAAGGTAGAATCTCTACCGAGTGGTTTCCAACCTGTCTGGATGGGGCTGGTGAAAGGAGATGGGGATAAGACTCTTGTGGTTCATTAGTGAATAATTGTTATCAGGATTGACTGTGAGTGTTGGAAATGTAAAGGTAGACATTTTGTAACAAAAGGAGGGGAGTGGTTGATCTTGCAGTCCAGGAGTGGAGGACCTTGGGACCTTATCCAGAGAAGCAGCGACACCAGAGATGGAAGCAGAAATGATGACATGGAAAGATGGAGCAGCTGGGGACTCTGGACTCAGGGAGGGAGAGGGGCTGTGTGCTGACAGCTGGTGGCAGCGGGGGAGGGGGACACGGGCTTGCAGGGTATACCCTTTGGTTGTTTGAATGGTTATATATTCCTGGGTGTTTTGGTGTACTTCCAAAATAAAAAAAAGAGGGAATGGAAGCAAATGCTATTGAATGATGATGCATGGAGGAGATTGTAGTCATTGCAATGCAATGAAATAAGGTAGGATGAATGTAAAGCTGATGATCTCCCATGTAAACTATCACTGAATTCACAACAAAAACTTAAAAAAAAAAAAAAGGAAAAGGAAAAGAAACGACAAGTCTCTGCGTAGTTGAGTGTAGTGCCCGGACTTCTGCCTTTCCTGGAAGAGACATGGATTCAGTATGGGCTCCGATCGCTGACATCCAATCCTGATTCGCCTTCAGAGCCAAGTCCTTTACCAGATGACATTGAGCATGTCGTTCATCACTGTTTGCAGTCATTCCACGGAGTCTCCATCAATTTATTAATGTTATTCAATTCTGTAAAGTGAAGGAATATGAGAAATAGTAAGTGGTCGGAGTCCCTGGTTGGTGTAAATAGTTAATGGGTGCAGAACATTGTGCGAAGGTGATGTCTGACTTTCTCTGACTTCACAAGGAGCAAAGAAGAGAATCACCAATCCAAGGCTGATTCCTGTGAGCGCGAGGTCACACATGTGTCCACGCTCCAACCTTCTTTACTCTGTTCTAACAGCAACTGTCCCACCTACAGCACCCCCTCAGCTGGGTCCAGTAATCATTGCAGTGGTTAGGGGTTTATTAGGGAAGTGTGCAGCATCAGAAACATCCAGATATAGTCAGGAACGTCTCTTCTCAGTTGGACGTGCCTCTCTCGTCCTTTACTTCTCACTCACCTGCTCAGACCAGTGTTAAAAGTTCTTTAGCGCTGTCAGTAAAATGCTCAGTAGGCATCTCGGCTTTACTTGCTCCGTGGGCCGGGAAACCTGCTGCTCTTCCTAATGCTTTGCTTGTGGCAGCTGTTTCTCCGTTCTGGGATCTCAGGGTCCAGAGAATGTCTTCCACTGCGGTTCTTGTTCAGTGATGATCAGGAGACTCCCCTTCCTGCTTCTCAGATGGCTCATTTTAAACCCTTGAGCAGGACAAAACCAACCTCATCAGAGCACCATGTGCTCATTGGTATGTCACTACCTCCTGATTTTTGATGGGTGTTAGGAAGATTATAGGTAGAAAGAAGAGCCTTATCAAGTCATTTCTTTGTACCGTAATGTGCTCAGCTGCTCACTGAAAGGATGATGGTTTGAGCCCACTCAGAGGGGCCTCAGGAAAAAGGCCTGGTGATCAGTGGGCTCAGCTTCCTTTTCAGGTTTCTAGATCACTATCAATCTCAATTGCCATTGAAAACCCAATTAAGCACAGTTGTACCATAACACACATAGGCTCACCATGACTACGAGGTGTCTCAATGGCAGCTGGCTACTAAGTAGCAAAAATATGATATGGTAGGCATTTTATAGGTGCCATTAATATTTTATGCAAATTAGACTTTGGTATGCATAAACTAACAA